TCTTCTTCTTCTTGTTTACTACTGGTGGTTGGCTTTGGTCGCAGTACCGCCACCTTCTGCTCTGGAGTGGAAACGCTTTGCCTATGAGAAAAAGGAGCAGCGCATGAACCGAACGCAACACACACAAACCGAACTGAGACAGTCGAACCGAACGGTTCGGACGGTTTTCATAAACCGCTCCATCCCTACTCTACACTATGCGTATTTCCTGTTTTAGGGCCCTATAAATTCCGTTTTATTTTTTTCCCAAATTCCGTTTTTTCCGTTTAAATTTTTGAAAATTCAGTTTTTTCCATTTACATTTTTGAAAATTCCGTTTTTTCCCTTTACATTTTTAAAAATTCTTTTTTTTCCATTTTAATTTTTGCGAATTCTGTTTTTTTACCCTTTACTGCTATTTTAGGCGTAAAAAGAATGTCCTTTTAACGTAGCAGTAAGGCACGTCTGTAGGGACGCGGTGGCCTTGCTAGCGTTATTGTACTTCACCTTGTTCTTCACATGGATTTTGGATGACAAGTGGTCAGTCCATGTTTTTTTGCGCTTCCAATCAATGGAATGTTGACAACACTTGCAAAACAATCGTTCACCTGACACGTAAAAGTCATCAGGGAACTGCTCGGCTCTGTACTCAGGGCTTAGCCTCGTGTTTCTCAACTTTTTCGCCGAAAGCCGAGCTGTGGAGAGCCGCTTCGCAATTTTTTCAATGTTTTGATGGGGGAAGGTTAGCGGATATGACGGAGCGGGAGGGGTTGTGTCGCCCAGATTTGCGTCCCCCGGTGTGCATTTTCCCACACAAAAACAGAATTTCATTTCAAATGTAGAAATTCCGCGTTTACACTAGATTCCGCGTTAATTTGCCAATTCTGCGATTCTGTCCGCGATTACATGATCGCGGAAATTATAGGGCCCTACTGTTTGGTAGCTAAGGGCAGATACTGGCTGTAGTGCCGTCCACAATGCCTGGCACACCTCAGACACTATCCCAGACACCGTGCAGGATGCTAGTTTGTAGCTCTGTGCGATCACATGGAAAAAATCATATCGAGATTAAAAAGTGGTACGCGACCAGTGTGTTCAGGGCTTAACTCACACCTCACCACTGTGTAGTGGTGAAGTGTGAAACGTGTCAATTGGCTGGGTGGATGCATGGAGGCGGCGGTGCTGAACTGCGAGGACCGTCCAACACAGCTTAAATTTTTTATGTCTTTTTATAATTGATTTGAAACTTTACGCATTGGAAACCATTTTTGCCGCTGACTCACCCCAGGCACGAAGGTCAGGATGTTGTACTTCTGGTTCTTGATGGCGTTTTTCGGATACTTCTCTTCACATTTCTCTGGACATCCGAGCCAAACGGTCCGAGCCTTGAGCTCCTTCTTCCTCCGACAGATGTGAGCCAGACAGTCACAGCAGCTGGGGAGGGAAAGCAGCACAGATCCGCCCGTTAGCATCAGCGTTAGCACTGCTTAGGAGGGGGACAACTAGACCCACGCCATTCTACTTTCACAGGCTCAGGGATTA